GGCCGTGGCGCTGGAGGGGGGTCCGTGGGAAGGACCGTGGCGCTGGAGGGGGGTCCGTGGGAAGGACCGTGGCGCTGGAGGGGGGTCCGTGGGAAGGGCCGTGGCGCTGTTAACTCTTTTAAATCTCCTCTGTTGTAGAATCTGTCTTCTGAATGGCCCAGTTGGTTTTTCATTTAATCTGTTTGGTTTTTTTATAAGCAGAATGTGGTTGCTCTCTGAATTCCTTGGACTGAGAGCCTCTGGCTGAAAGGGGGCTTGGCTTACCTTTTAAGTTATTGATCTGAATGCATATTGGCCACTTTGGAGTCTAAATTAAAGTTATTTCCTAACCCCTGAGGCTTTCTGTTTCAGGGTCATCTGTGCTACAGTGTTCAATCGTCTGCTCTCTCTTCATTGTGTGTCACACTGACCTACCTTGCTGCGAGCAGTCCTGCTGCCATGTTCTCCCAGCTGCCCCAAATCCCAGCAAGTCCAGTAATTCCTGGCACCTCCCTGAGTTGTAGTCCAGCTGGAGCACCACAGACAGTGCTAAATGGTTCCAACCTAGTACCTGAACGTGCAGAATTAGCATGGCATTCACCAGTCATCTTCTAAAAGGCTTCATCATTGCCTTGAGGTACTGACTTTGACTACTAATCTCCAAAAAGGATACACAAAGGAAAACTCCAATGGTCATAGGTAGGTTAAAAGAAAAGTCCTCTAGAAGTTGTCGAGCAATGAGCAATGTCTGGTAAGAAATATAAAGAATTAATGTTGAATTTTTCATACAAAATTGACTTTATACTTTGACTTTTTTAAAAGAAATGTATGTTAACCCTAACAAGGTCAAAAGCTGCCTAAATTCCTTCTCAGTACATCAGATTGCACCCACCTGATACCCAAAGAGGATACTTAAAAAGTTATAAATTATATGTATTAGTGTGTTTATGTGTTTGAAGTGCTTATAAACCAGTAACAGTTTGATTTAATTTGAACAAATGATACTTTATTTCTGAAAAGTGACAGAAGACGGTACTTCCATCTTGTGACCAGTGCATCAGGGTGTAGCATCCAGAACAGAAAATGCCTAAATTAATTGAATAGTAAAACAAAATGAGGGGTAGGCTGGATTAGGAAAGGATTAACTCGCTAATGGCTCCGTAGCTTAACTGGGTGTACACTACCGTCCATTGGGGTTTAAATCACCTCTCTTGCTAGAATTTTCATTTCTGTCGGAGATCTCAAGATGAATTACTCAATGTAAATCTTTTCAAAATACCTTGCTTGATAAAATATGTTTTTTGCAACACCTAAAACTTCCCATTCTATACATTGGAGAGAAGACAGTTGTGCTCTTATCATTGCCATAAGAGTGGGTGTGTGTGGCATTGGGACTAAGTTGACTTATGCAGTGCTAAATGGTGTCTTCTCTTCCCTCTTGCTGCAGTGAAGGTTGCAAGCGTGTTATCTATTCACTGGTTTTTGTTCCATTGAAATCTCCATCCCTTGCATCAACTTCCTCTTCTGAACCTTCTGCTGCATTTTCAATGACTCTTCTGCCTCCAGATCTACGGGAGGGGGCAAAAGATGTTGGCTCATTTCCTCTCCTGCAATAAGAAAACAGGCGTTAGCTTATTTCAACTCCTTACAAATTAACTCAGAACTTTGTGTACAAAGCCCTATAATTGCATCAGTGGGCATGCAAAGAAATCAGGGAAGTTATTGTCTCAAGGTAACTTTCTGTAGCCCTTAGTGGTACTTTGTACTGATGTCTATGCCTGTGCGGGGCCTGTGCGTTTGTGCAATGTGGGACTGTAACTGGATTTGTGACCTTGTGTATGCAAAATCACAACCCCAATGTAGTTATTGCACTTGTTTGGTTTGAAAAGCCTAGTCCTCTTCCAAACAGAGACTAAATCGCACACTTACAACAAACATGTTTTGTGTATGTGTGAAAGAAGGGACTGGAAATACAGGCATCTGGATCTAGCAATAGTCAGTATTGCATCCCTGCTGCCAAGGGAAGATTCAGAGGGATGACCCTGGATTTCTGAACAGAGCATAAATATGCCCCTCCAAGTCAATATCATGTAGTGTTGGAACTGTAATGTTATGCTCTGGAGGGATTTGTAGCTGCTTTTTGCAGTAGCCACACCTCCCACTACAGAGGTGCACCAGTGTTGATTCTTTTGTGCCATAGAGAAGGAAGAGCTTCTCTCTGCTTGCTTTATAGGTAGGGAGGGGAAATGGATTTGTGTAGAATGCGAAGCTGCATATCCTGCCAGCCTGCACATCCTACCGCTGCACCAGACTGGAGTGCCACTCATTTAGCACTGAGAAGTACATTCCTCCCAGGGACTCCCCCATGCCTCATATGAAATTAATGAATCATCGAACGCTAGAACTGGAAGGGACCTCAAGAGGTCATCGAGTCCAGTCCCCTGCCCTCATGGCAGGACCTAGTACCATCTAGACCATTCCTGATAGCTGTCTATCTAACTTGCTCTTAAATATCTCCAGAGATGGAGATTTCACAACCTCCCTAGGCAACGTATTCTAGTGTTTAACCACCCTGACAGTTAGGAAGTTTTTCCTAATGTCCAGCCTAAACCTCCCTTGCTGCAGTTTAAGCCCATTGCTTCTTGTTCTATTCTCAGAGGCTAAGGAGAACAAGTTTTTCACAGAGAAGCACACAGAATGCACTTCCTCCCACCTTGCCCATTTCTCCCACCTCCAGAAGTTTCAGTTATGGACCTAGCATGGAAAATCCCCCGTCCCCATCCTAGTTCGATTGGGGCATGGACAAGAAGAAGGTGAGGAGAGAGGAGAAGAATTGAAGCACTACAAGTGGCAGCTTAGAAGTAAAAGCAGCTCCTCAGCCGTAGTGTTATTACTTCAACAAAATAGTAAAATAGAGTCCCCATTTCACCACAACTTCTATCACGTTCCCATTGTTAAGCAAACCTTCCGTAAAGGCTTGAGAGTTTAGAGATAAGCAAGGAAATTCATGATCACTGAACAATGCACAGATTCTAATGAGGTTAAACATCCAGGTGCTCATTTGGGTTACAGCAATCAAGCCTAAATACTGAAGTTTTCTTTTGTCCAAGCAAATGTCTAAGTCAGTTTCATTTATACTGAAGCCACTAATAAAGCCCCAAAGTCATTCTACCTTAGGCTGTGTCCAGACTCAGGGTTTTTTTCGAAAAAAGTAGCCTTTTTTCGAAAAAACCTCACCTGCGTCTAGACTGCAGCCGCTTTCTTTCGAAATTAAATCGAAAGAACGCGGCTTTTCTTTCGATGGCAGTAAACCTCAATTTATGAGGAAGAACGCCTTCTTTCGAAAGAGGAACTTTCGAAAGAAGGCGTTCTTGAATGTAAATAGGGCTTCTTCGAAAGAGAGCATCCAGACTCACTGGATGCTTTCTTTCGAAAAAGCAAGCCGCTTTTTCGAAAGTTCAACTTGCAGTCTAGACGCTCTCTTTCGAAAGAGGCTTGCAGTCTAGACATAGCCTTAGTGAGTAAGCATGTAAGTATGTTAGCTGAATTCTGAAGTTAGAGGTATACAAAAAAGCCTGTTATGTCCATTGTGACATTAAAGGCTTCATAATACCACTATCCTTAAATTAACAAAATCTTTCATTTTGGTGTGAGCTCTTACTGCTGCAGCAAACAATTAACTAGCCAATAAAATCTATTTTGAGTTAGTTATTCGGCCACCGCAATGACAGAGTAGAAATGGATGCCCTGCTTTGTACAGCGGAGATTTGTTTGCCCAGTTTTTAACAATTTGTCTTGATCTGCAACACTTAAAATTCACTGCTGCTGTTTAAGGTATCAAAGGTGCTAAAGTGCTGGTCTTGTAAAAATCAAGTGAATGCACTAAATTGAAGAAAAAGCAAATTTTACTTCTTGTGCTTACTCATTAAATAGAGATACTTCATTTGTTTTTGCGCTCTCTGTTGCCGCTCATCATTGTGGACCAAACTCTGCTTTGTGAGGGTAACTATACTTCAAAGTTATGTGGCATAGCTATGGCAATCAGGAGCGTGCAGAGATTAAAGCAACTTAAATTTCTTATAGGTACTGCTGTATCATGGCCTCCTCTCCCCCCAGGAATCTCAGGGTGGGGGTTTGCAATATGACAGGGATGTCAGCATGTAGATGACTACATGAATAACCGATAAACCTGGGCTCATCGGTTAATCTTGTTGACTACACCCATTTCCCCCCCCCCCCCCTTGCCTCTGTTACAGAGGCAGCAAAGGGAAGGGTGAGGCGGGAGCCAGTGCTTGTAAGGAGCCAGCTTTTAAACCAGGTCCCCACAACCACCAGATCCTGTGAAGCAGCCTGCCCTCCTCCCACCCCCATGCTGCTGCCTCTGATAGAGAGGCAACAGTGTGGAAGGTTTGGGGGGGCAAGTGAGAGCTAGTACATGCAGGAAGTCAGCTTTCAAACCAGCTGCCTGTGCACATTGACTCCTGCGGAGTCACCTGCCCCCTACTCTGTTGCCTCTTTATCAGAGGCAGCCATGCAGTGGGGCAGGCGGGAGCTGATACGTGTGAGGAGCTGGTTTGAAAGCCGACTTCCCATGTGTACCAGCTCCCACTTGCTCCCCCCACCTTCCATGCTGCTGCCTGTCAGAGGCAGCGGGGCGGGGTTGGGGGAGGGCAGGTGGCTCCACAGGATCCAATGCTCATGGGCAGGAGGGGAAAGAGGGGAAGGCAGGCAGGAGCCAGCGCTTGGGGGAAGCTAAAGACTCCCCCACAGATACATCCCAAGAGGCTGCTTGCTTTTTTCTTTCCGTGACTGTCAGGGAGCGAGGGGAAAGTGCACAGGTTGGGTCACTCGCTCCTCTGTGCCCTGCCCTTTGCAGCCAGAAGGGAGAGGAATGCAGCCTTCTGTGAGCTTTCCTCTCACTCCCTGACAGTGATGGGAAGGGAAACAGCAAGCAGCAACCCTGCATAAATCTGGGAGTGGTCTTCAGTTCCCTTGACCTCCTTAAATATTCTAAGGGGCCTTGGGGTTGGAGCAATCCTGGACTGGTGGGTGACACACTCCCAGCCAGCCCTTTTCACCTGCCCAGCTGCCTGCTGCTTAGTGCGGCAGCCTGCGGGGAGTCCAGCTTCCATCTCCTGCAGCAGAGCACCCCAGCCAGCTGGCTCCTTGCTGGAGGAATTCACCAGAGCACACCAGCTTCCTTTCACCTCTGGGAGTGTGGGACACCCTCTCCCCAAACTCTGACCAACATAGTTGTGCTGCCAACACCCACACTGTGGACATAAAAGGATATGCAAACTACAGATACATTAACACACCCTGGACCCAAGTCCTGGTTTTCATATATACATTGCAATAATGGAATTGAAGTCTAGGCTGTTAATTTGGTATAACTCTCTGAGTGATGCTTATTGCATTTTAGCTTAAATCATGCTTCTTAAACAAATGTGGCTCTAGGCCAGGTTTATAATTATTTAAGAAAGTCCACAGAGCCATCTGTACTGATGTAAATTATCATGTAGACAAAGGGAGAAAGGGAAATTGTTATGCCTGGGATTAGGCTCCCCCCATGTTTATTACACGATGAAAACCCTTATGTGGCCAGCACACCTTTAGGGTATTGTGTACTGTCCCATCTAGTAGCACTTAAACCATTTACGGAGAGACAGAATGAGTTTCCTCTACAACCTCAGCTGAAAGCTAGCTGGCTTTTAGCTTAAGGGGTAGAGGCTCATGTATTAAGCTCCAGAGGTCACTGGTTCAATTCTACCTGTTGGTGATATGTTTGCAAGGCACTTACTTTTGTTAGCATTTCACTTTCCATTTAATCTAGCTGTAATCACATTCTAGTCTGTTACATTGACCTAATGGCAGTTGCTAGGACAAAAGGTCATCTTTAAATATCTGTGTAATAACAGCTCCGTATTTGTAAAAAGAGATTCACAAATATTACAGAATGCTCTTTGCTTAGCATCACTTCTGCTGGTGTAAAGTAAGATGTTGTTTAGCTTAAAGCATCAAGCAGTACAACTTCATAGGGTATTTCCATGCGTTAAACAGTAGTGAGTCAATCCTATGTCAGAACATGTAGGCATGCCTCAATGTATATACAAATAGCTGCTCTATAAGAATGTATAGTAGTATACTTATAGTATAGCTATATGTATAGTAGCTATTTAACACAGGCACACATTGATGTGCTTTGGAGGACAGGAACTTACCCTCTAATCTACCATTAGATTGTTTTGTTTGTATGGCAGACTTCATGCAAATAATTTTCCAAAGCACATGTAAGATTAGCTATTCTTACCACCTGAGTACGTATTTTAAAGAATTCACCATATGAAATGTGCATTGGTAGTACAGTGAAATTCTAACATGCTTCAACATCCCTGTTCATAGCCATTATGTGTCTTTAATGTTTTCAGTTGTTTTAATTAATCAAGGCTCTAGTTGCAAAACTTCCATGTTTAATTGGGACTTTAAAAAGTGCAAGGAAGACTATATCATGCAGAAATTAAATAAATGAGCAACTTGTATGTCTTTTGTCAGCAGAGCTTATGAGAAAAGTGAGAATGCAATGTTTGCAAATCCATGTCATAACACAACCTAGCTGTAAGAAAGATGAATGACCAACAAACGAGATGGAAGAGAGTTGTTGTAATATTTGTCTCCTTTGATACAACAAACTAATGTCAAGATATCCAAGCCTTCACAGTTTGCAGAAATGTCACATAAAATTTAGTTGTGCAAAAGGAGAATGGAAATTTATGCACTACAAGCTAGCTGCAAAGTTGAAGGCATGATACCTGCTCAGTCACTGCGAAGGTTCCTGAGTCCCTCTGAAACAGAGATAGAGAATCCCAAGCAGTTATACTAAGCACATGGTCATTATCACTGCAGGTAAGTTGCTTTCAAATAATTCAAGTACATTATAGCATATTATTGAAAACCTTGTTGAGCAGAAGTGAGTTTTGGACTGTATTATGCATTAATCCAGCACTCAATTGGAGAATAGGTGGAGGGATTTGATTAGGCAGCTGCTACTTAGTTTAATTTTCTCAATTATTAAAGGGCACGAACTAAACCATAAGAAGATATTGTAAGGGCAGCAGTTTTCCTTTAACCAATCAAGAGCCTCTTTCTTTGTGCCACAGGCATCACAGGCTCAACAGCTGTGTTAAAGTTTGGGAGTGTTAATAGAGTGAGGTGACTATTGTATTATTTGGCTTGTTATATATAATGAGAAAATGGGAGTGGCTCCTTGGACAAGCCTCTGTCAAAGTGGCATGAAACCACTTCACAAGTGAAGATGAAACCCTACAGGTCAATATGCAGAACAGGGAGGCAGCTTGGGCAAGTGTGACTTAGGCCATTTCTTCACTAAGTGGAAGATTGATGCTACCGTAATCGATCTTCTGGAGTTCGATTTAATGAGTCTAGTTAAGACTTGCTAAATTGCACTCAAAGGGCACCCTCGCCAGTAGCTGGTACTCCTGCTTCTGCGAGGAGTAAGGGGAACCTCCTCCTGCCCTGGGGATGGTAGGGAAACTCAAAACAAGGTAAGTCAACTCCAGCTACGTAATTAACGTAGCTAGAGTTGTGCATCTTGATTCGGCGTTCCTGTTTGGTGTAGACCTGGCTGGAGTGTATGTGCTTTGCCTTAGTCCTGGTGTGCACTACAAACTTCTGTCAGAACCGCGCTGCTCAGGGAAATCCACCCCTTCCCGAGCAACACAGTTACACCTACCTAACTCCTAGCATAGACAGCTCTGCATGGGAAGGCTTCTCCAGTGGCCCTAACTACCACCTAGGGAGGTGGAGTACTTACACTGATAGGAGAAGCTCTCCCCTCAGCATAGGCAGCGTCTTCACTAAGTGCTACAGCAGCATAGCTTCTGGAAGTGTCAACAAGCCCTTTGATTCCCTACAGAACTTCAAGGTCTCTGAACTTCTGGGATATCACTTCAGTCATCTCCTGTGTGTATGGGAGGAGACTAGCTGAAAGAATGCTAACTAGTACTGTATATAATAAATATCATGGCAGGTAGGTCTATCAACGCCTACTAGCCAAAATGGCAAGGGACACATCCCCATGATCAGGGTGTTCTTAAACCTCTGAGTGCAAGAAGCTGGGACTCAACAACAGAGGACAGATCACTTGATAAATTGCCCTGTTCTGTTCATTCTCTCCGAAGCATCTGCCATTGGCCACTGCAAAAAGATAGATACTAGGTAGATGGACTATTGGTCTCACCCAGAATGGCCATTCTTACATGTTCTTAATATCATCCTCAAGGCCCTCAACTCCAGTCTAAGATTTTCAAATCTCAGACTAGACTTAACGCTGTTTCTATTGAAGCCAGTGGGCGTTTTATCATTAACTTCAATGGCAGCAGAGTGCTGGGGGCTTCAGAAACATCTCACCCATGAAGGGTAAAGTCCTGATGCTACCGGGGTGAAAGTAACTTAAATTTCTTATAGGTACTGCCCTATCACAATCCGCCCCTCCTTTGGTGGAGGCGAGGGGCTTGGCCATACAACAGTACCTGTAAGAAATTTAAGTGTAGGATGGACAAATATAAGAAGAGGGCTCAGGGCAGAGGGCTGGGTGAGTGCGGGGTAGAAGGGCAACATTTTGGGGATGGGGAGGGGAGGCTGCAGCTGCACTTACCCCATCTCACTGAGTGTTTGTTTTCTTTTTGCTGACTAGGGAACAAGGCAAAGTTCACAACCAGTGTCCTTCCTCCTCTGCCCTCCCCTGGGCAGCCGGGAGCAAGAGCAGGTTGTGAGCTTTGCCTCACTCCCTAGTCAACAAAAAGAAAAAAAAAAACACAGTCAGTGACAGGATAAATGTGACTGCAGCTCCCCCCTCCCCGAAATAGCAAGAAAGGGAGCCCCAGGCTGGGGCCCTCCCAGAAACTCCCTTCTGCCACCAGCTGCTCTAACCTACCAGGCTGCCTGCTTATAGCGAGACAGCCTGCAGGAAGCCCAGGGAGCAGTTCTGGGGGTGCCCCACCCCTCCCCCTGCAGCTAAGTGTTCAGTTTCTTGCCAGAGCGCCACACCAGGACCCACTGGCTTACTTTCACCTCTGGATGCTACTGAAGCTCAGAAGAGTGTTGCTAGTGACTTTCATGGGGCCATGACTTCACACCAAGTCTTTGACCCAGGGATAGCATTTGTATTATGTTTATTGAGCGGATGTGGGGAACCATAACTCCCCAGTGCCAACAGGGAGTTTCTTCTTAACCAAGATTCTTTCCTCAAATTCTGCTATACCTCAGAATTCTAAACCTCTCATTAGTGGAAAGAAAATGGCTAGTAAAAACCAAGCCCCCCTACCTGAGTTTGCTCTTCAGGGCAGTCATCTCCCGGCCCATGGCCTCATTACTTTCAGCTGCTTCGTCCAACTCTCTCTGCAGTTTCCTGCGATTTGCATTGATGCGCTGGGCCTCTTCCTCAGCCTCCTCCAGCTGTCGTTTCAGTTGTTTGACTCGGGCAGTGCTCTTATCAGCCTAAGAGAGAAGAAAGAGGCATGCTTAAGAGTTTTGAGTTTCCTTTAAAGAGAACAGAACGTTCTTTAAAGAGAACAGAACTACACCCCTTTATTCCTGTTGATGTACTTTCCTGACTCTACCCCTGCAAGTAGCTGCTGTGGCCTTTATTGTGACATCCCAATAGGATTAGCTCTGCTCCTTTGGACTGCATGTATTTGATGTGTCTTGAATGAAATTAACACTTTAGGTTCTGGGATGAAGAGTGGTCTCTGTCAGCAGCCCTACATAAAGCTTAGATGACAAGAGGAAGCCAGCTGGGACAAGCATCTGAACCCAGGCCTAATCAGGCTGTTCTAGTTGGCTGGCCGGCCAGGGCCAGGCATCATTGCCTCAGTATGGAGAACAGAAAATCTGGCTGTCAAACATGAGTCTAGTGAAGGGATTTGCAGGGAAAAAAAGCGGTTTTCTTTCTTCTAATGGCAAACATCACAGGTGGCAGCCCCAGTGAGGTCCTGCTGACTTGCATTTACACAGTGAGGCACGACACAGGGTTATACACCAGAGTTAACTTGCCCTGACTCTTTGGGGGCACTGTAGCAACTGTCTCATTAATCAAGTACAGAGTTTTTCTCTCTTGGCCCAACAGAGGCCCTCTCAGGCTGGGATCTCTGAGCCTAGACCCTTCCTTTTAAAGGCCTGCTAGCTGTTTTTCCCTCCTTGGGCACTTTATTTGAGGCAGTGCAGGTGTGACCCTAAAAACTCCTCAGTGCCAATTGGCAAAGGGTTGACTGTTCTGTAACAGCAACTCCTATCAGGCCTGACAAACTTGCTACATTTAGCACACAGTTTTCATAATATTTGTAAAGAATGTCATGTGAGATCTTATATGAAATCCAGGATACCACCGATCATTAATATCATTGTGAAATGTATGGAAGGAATTTTGTAAATATACTGGAAAATGTTTTTAAAGTCTGAATCCAGGCAGGCTGACAAACAGGTTTTTTCAAGACAAAGGTTGTAGATTCACCTATGTGATATGTTTCACATGCATTGTATGCCAACCTTGAGAGCATTTATGAGGATGTAAGGTCAACATGAAGTCAGTGTATTAGGGAATAAAGCCAGGAGGTCAAGAATCATCCTGATTTTGGGGACCAACAATGAATTTGGAGGGCTATAGGATGATGGAAAAGGACACTATAATTCTGCACCGAAGACGCAAATGCCACAGTGCTTTTTGCATTCATGAAAGAGGGATCCTAACCAAGGTGGTTGGAAATGTTGTGAGATCCACTCACCTAAAGCAAACTACTTTAGACGAGGGGTGGGAAACCTTTTTTGAGTCGGGGGTCACGGACCCACAGAAAAATCAGTAAAAATCAGTTGGGGGAGAGGGGACTACACACAAGTGAGAGAGGGAAAAAACCCACTCTCATTGGCATGGCCCCCAACTGAGGAGAAAGACACTCCCTGCATTCTCTTACACACCAGAGGCCCAGCCTAGTAACATTTTTTGCCTAATAGATGTTTGTGCCTCAATCCCACGGAGGAGTAGCGGGGAGGCTAGAGTGCCAGCATGGGCTCCCCAATTCTGGGGTTGGGGTGCGGCCCCGAGTCTCAGGGGCTGAATCCAGGTAACACGGGCCACACCCACTCCTGGTTTAACCTGTCATAGATGAGTTTAGACTCAAGAAAGCATTATACTTTGTTTTATATGTACCCATTTGTGTGTCTATTATTATTCTCAGTAGCTTTCAGATCTTTATCTTAGATAATAAACTTGTGATTGCTTTCACAATACGTAGGTCTCAGTGCTCTGAGGCCATTTGGAGCTGATCCTCACTGGAATCTAAAAAGCTAGTGTATCTGTTGTCTCTCTGGTAGGACTCGGATAGCCACAGAGGTCTATGGAGCAGGCTGGGAAGGCAGTTGCTTGTGTGGCCAAGGCAACTGGTGTCAGGGAGATAAGCTACAGAGCGTACAGACAAGACTACTAAAGACAGGTGCCTCACACGCCTGGGTACTCTTGGGAAGTGTGTCAGCAGGTATTTACTTCTCTTCCCTTGCAGCCCCTTTCTCTCCTGCTAGATACCTAAAGCATGGTGCATTACCTGGTCCTTGTATTGTTCCGCTTGCTTCCTTTCATCTTCCACCTGTAGCAAGACCTCTTTCAGCTTCTTGTCCTTCTGGCGCAACGTCTTGGCAGCAGCTTGCTTCTCTCTGCAAAGGGCAGCATGACACTTATTGATCTGGAAAATGGATAATTCTTGGGCGCACATAGCTTGTGGAAAAAAAAGAACCAGTGATCTTCATATTAAAAGTCTTCCTCAGAATAATGCTATTGGCTTCTGTAAAAATTGAAGGAAGCAGCAGCTTCTTCCATGGGTCAATTCATCATGCACCTGTCCTGTGTGTTTTCCAGATAAAAAAGCTGGGCGAGTTTACCTTTATCTTTGTATAACCGACTGCCACATTTCTAATGATTGGAGGCTTGTTTTGTTCTTACTAGTTATTTACTAATTTTCTGCTTATAGCCAAACCCTGCTTCTTTAGTCAGTGAATAAAAATAGGGAACTGCGAGAACATTTTTGGGGAAAAGGACAGAATACTTTGCCCTCCTCCCAAGTGGCAGGTGCAGAGCAAATGAACAGCACAGCTCTACTCCAGCTCATAGCTTGCTACATCTTCTCCCTGCAGGATTATGATCCAGGAGATCTACACCTTCTACTGAGCCACAGTCTATATCCCTGCTGGCCTGTTCACAATCTACTCCCCTCACTTCCTTTATTCCCACTGCAGATCTTGGCTTCAGAGTATGCAAGAGAAGCAGTGTTGGCCCAGAGCTGTTTGTGTCATTTCTACCTTGATCTAGGCCTCCTGCTGCCATGGAATGGAGGCCTTTAACACCTCACTTGTGTGGGCCTTTTGCAATAGGCTGTGTCTACACTTCTACGTTTAAAGCACAACTGTGGCAGTGCTCTCTGCCACTTTAGGAAGACCACCTCCATAAGGAGAGTTGCTAACCGCTCGGGGAGCCTGTTTACACCCTGGTGTGAGAAAGTTACAGTGTGGACAAGCCCTTAATGGGTTAGCTAAGAAAGAGAGCTAAGAAAGACAGTAGCCTGGCTTCTTATGGGCTATTGACAATGTGCTGGGTATTCTCAAATATTTACTTGGCCCTCGCTCTCACAGGCCTTGGGAGGTAGGCCGGTCCTTGCCCACAGACAACCCGCCAACCTGAAGCATATTCTCACCAGCAACTACACACCGCACCATAATAACTCGAACTCAGGAACCAATCCTTGCAACAAACCTCGGTGCCAACTCTGCCCACATATATACACCAGCAACACCATCACAGGACCTAACCAGATCAGCCATACTGTCACTGGTACATTCTCCTGCACATCCACCAACGTAATATATGCCATCATGTGCCAACAATGCCCCACTGCTATATACATCGGCCAAACAGGACAGTCCCTACGTAAAAGAATCAATGGACACAAATCTGATATTAGGAATGGCAACATACAAAAACCTGTAGGGGAACACTTCAATCTTCCTGGACACACAATTGCAGATCTAAAAGTAGCTATCCTGCAGCAAAAAAACTTCAGGACCAGACTTCAAAGAGAAACTGCTGAGCTACAGTTCATCTTTAAGTTTGACACAATCAACTCTGGATTAAACAAAGACTGTGAATGGCTTGCTAACTACAAAAGCAGCTTCTATTCTCTTGGAATTCACACCTCCAGATCAGCTGCTAGAAGTGGGCCTCATCCTCCTTGATTGGATCCACCTGGTCATCTCCAGCCTGATCCTGGCCTGCATATTTATTCCTGCCTCTGGAAATTTCCACTACATGCATCTGACGAAGTGGGTCTTTGCCCACGAAAGCTTATGCTCCTACACTTCAGTTAGTCTATAAGGTGCCACAGGACTCCTCGTCGCTTTTACTTGGAATAATTACAGCTCTCAGAATAACATTAGTGTCTGAAATAACAGCTGCAGTGAGAGAACTAGGAGTTTTGGCCTGATGCAGGCCCCACCAGCGCTCAAGAAGCAGTAAATGCAGCTGAGAGTCCAAAATGACAACTGTGCAGAGACCCACACAGCTGTCCACAAAGCTGGACAGTTTGGCAGCTAGTGGGCTGTTCTGCCTTGGAGGTGCAAGGATGATAATTGCTGCATGTGCACATGTGACCTGAAATCATGCCCAGGTGCATGCCTAATGGGCCAAGTCCAGCCCCTGCCAGAATTAATGGACCAGACCATGGTGTATTGAGGTGGAAGGAATCTTTCCCTTTGTCCCCAAATTGCAGATTGCTGCTCCCTCCACCTGCTCACATGCTATCCTTCGTCAGTAGTAGCTCAGGCCATAATGCATCCCCTTTGTAGACTGGGGAGAGAAGGGATGAGGGAAATAAAACCAAGTAGTCATGCATCCTGTCAGGCAGAGAACTCCCTTGGAGCTCATTACCATGCTAAACAGCTTTGCAGAATTTGCTGTACTGTCGGGGGAGTCAGGATCTGGCTCAAAAGAAGAAGACTAGCACTAATGAAATGGCCCTACTGACAGTATAAGATATAAAGGAAGGCAAACCAATAGGTTTCTACAGAAACTGCTCTGAAGACCTAGAGAATAAGATCCCTCATCTAGGTTTTTTTGGTAAGCCTATAGAATTCTACAGCAGGGCAAACTATTCTAGAAGACTTTTGAATAATAAATTCTTCCTAAAGCAGGCGCTGTGCAAGCTTTTGGCATGAACCAGTCATTTTCCCAAGAAACACTGCTTTGTGTGTGAGCCTCTTTATCCAACTCTTTAGTACTTTGTGTTGTATTGTGCTTCCAGATACAAGGATTACCTCTATTTAAAACACAATAAAAAAGATGTCAAAAAATATAAAATTATTGAAAAAGTCATAGGAGTTGTAAGATCCAGTACTTTTTCATTGTGTGAAAAATGCCACTAATAGAATCTTGAAAAACCTTTAGTTTTTTAGTATTTCATGTATTAAAACAAGGGTAGTCGATAGGATTACTGTAGGCCAAACCTGGACTGCTAGACATTATTCAATGGACAGTGAAATCTTTTTATTTACTTATTCTTACCATTATTATTGTTGCTTTTGTATTATTTTCTCTGGAGTCTGGACTTTTGCCTATACCATAACCAAGAAATTTGGACCTTGACAAAAATAAGTGATTACCTGTATATTAGAATCCCTAAATAAAAGGGTAGCTTTACCGCTGGAGGGCTGAGTTGCAGTGTCCAAGTACCTGGATTCCTGTTCCACTTGCTCCTCAAGCTGAGCTATTTTGGCCTCCAGAGAAGCAATTGTAGCCTTGAACTTGGACTTCACAGATCCCTCCATTTCCTGCAGTTTAACCTTCAGCTCTTTGTTCTGCCTCTCGAGTTGCTGCCGAGCGCTCTCATTCTTCTGTGCCGCAGTGCGCTCTGTTACCAATTCATTATTCAGCTGCTCTGACTAAAATATGTGGGAAGAGCAAACTTTAAAATCTTAGAGCTGTTACCTTGGGAAAAGGGAGTTAGGTCAATTTAATATATATAAAAAAAGAAATCTCTTTCTGGGAACTCTGAAGGTGTGACCAAAACCAAACATGCGCACTTGGTGGGGTACAGACACCCTCACACCTGCATTAATAATACACATGCTCACATGTACATCCAACTCCCTTCTTATTTATAGGAGCACTCAAATGGACAGTACCTGCTGTACCGCTTTCCTGAAGCGATCACTCATTGCCTCCATATTACCTTGTTCCTCTTCTAGTTCTTCCTCCAATTGGGAGATTCTAGCTTCCAGACGACGTTTCTCGTCCTGAAGGCTAGTCCTGCAAGTTTGAATTTGTAAAGCATGTTGGTTTTGGTTCTGAGCAGTTGACCGTGTCTCGCAACACAAAGAAAGCTGCTGATGACTCATGGAAAACCTGTATGTGTTCTTGACATGAGTGTGCCTACATTGCCATCTTATTTGTGTTACTAGTGACCTCACCTGTCCCTCGCTGCTGGCCTTCATATCTATGAGTCACTTGTAAGTAGTCCCATTGATTTTAATGTAATTTGCACATGTTTGTAGCTAAACATATGAGGCAAAGTTGGAGCTATAAATTGCTTTCCAAGACAGAAACATTGGCTACTCAGAGGTATTTAGCAAGGCTTTGATACACTTGAAAATAATTGTCAATTCTTACCTCCCAGAAGCAGCACTTGCGAGTTCTTCAGCCAGTTCCTCTTTCTCCAGATCAGCATGTTTGCGGGCTCTTTCTGCAGCTGCCAGATCCTAGGAGAAATAGACAGCCATTGTATTAAAGAAATGAAGTGGGTTAAACAAAATTCAGTCCAACCATTTAGTCCTATGGCATAAGAGACTGATTAGCCATCACTGTCTTTTTAAGCCCAACCTATGTCAAACATTTCTGTCACCAGAATATTAATTTAGGAGTCTATAGTCATAGACAAATGAAACAAAAATATGCATTATCCAACTCTTCAGCATTTTGTGTTTTATTATGCTTCCAGATGCAAGGATTATATCCATTTAAAACACAATAAAAAGATGCCAAGAGTATACAAATATTGAAAAAATCATAGGGGACTGTAAGATCCAGTATTCTTTTCTTTTTCATTGTGTGAAAATAGCTTCTTAACAGCTAAATAGTTTTAAAGGAAGCTCTTGGTGCTCAGCATTTCCAAGCACTTTGGGTACATTTCAATGGATGTCAAGTGTCCTAAATACCTTCGAAGATTGAGGATGTTTTTACCGTGGTCCACAGAACCTGCTATAAGAGATTCTGACTATAGCTTTCCCTGCACTTCAGCCAATATCATTTTTTAAGGTATTTTGGCTCGCTCGGGGACAACTCTGTTTTATTCCTGAAGATGCTGTGCAATCCACATTTCATTACTCTCTAAAGGCAAGTCTACTCTACACGGAAGATTGACACTGCTCTGGTCGATCTTCCAGGGTTTGATTTAGCAGGTCTAGTATAGACCCTCTAGATTGAACTCAGAGGGTGCCATTGTTGGCACCAGTACTCCTGCTCCTCATGAGGCGTAGGGGAAGTCAACAAGAGCATTTGTTCCCATCAGCTTTCCACTGTGTGGACGGCACAGAAACACAATGTAAGATACATTGACTTCAGCTGCGTATTTTACATAGCTGGAGTTGCATATCTTACTTCAGCCTTCCCATGTAGTAAAGACCAGACCTAATTCACGCTTCACCTCTTGCAGCTGCATAAGTTCTGCTTCCAGGTTCTTGGCTTTTTTCTCATTTTCTCTGGCTGTAGCAAATATCTCCTCTCTTGAGGCCCGGGCATCATCAAGCTCTCGTTGGAAGTCCTTCATCTGGCCCTGGTTTCAGACAGTTAAAAAGAAAAGGGATTTCTGTTGGTCTGTATTCATCATGGTTTTGTTGAAAATAAAATTGGACAAAAAACTCAAAACAAATACTAAATACCATGCAATTACAAACTGTCCATGTGGACCCTTCTGCCAAGCACTAGAAGTCCCACAATGCACTTTGATCTACTCTGCTTTGAAACCTGAGTTGGTCAATACACCCTATGGAACTTTTAGTTCACCCAGATAGTTAGTATTCTGCAAACTAGCGTGCTACAGATTTATACCCCAGCTTGCTGCGCACCAACTCACCATGTAGACAGTCCCTTAGTGTGTTTGAGTAATAGTTGGCTTGTCAAGTGTCAGTCCTGCCCTAGATCACTGATCACTATAGAATGTCTTTGAAAACTGGCTACTATTGATGCAAGTGCAAATGTGATAGCTGGTTTTTCAGAAATACACAGTGCTGTTTCCATGTCTTGGAAAGTTATGTTTGAGCCCTATAAATACATCTGGCCTTTTTTGCCTCACCTCTGTGATGGAGCCCTTAAGATTTCATTCACACAGAGATGCCAATATCACATCAGCATTGATCAGGTAGTTAAGGAGACTCCGTCCTTTATGAAACATGAGATTTTTCACTCTCTAGGCTAGCAATCTCAAGGTCTTTCAAATTACATCAACAAAGCATTTTTGGATCTGGAGTTTTGGTTCAAACCCCTTTCTAATGTTATATCTATTTAGTATTGATATCTAATTTCCACTTGCTGTTAAAAATCACATCCCGGGCCCAACGTAAAACTATTCAGTCTAAGAGCTACAAACCTGTAGTTTACGAAGTTGCTTAATAGCTTCTTCCCGAGCTTTATTAGCAGAGTCAACTTGACCTTCTAGATCCTTAATGTCAACTTCTAATTTCTTTTTAGCTGCAGCTGCCAGGCCACGTTGCTTACGCTCATCTTCCAGTTCTGTTTCATACTCATTAAGCTAAACGATAATAAAGAAAGTTTTGTTGACAATTATTAATACTCTTTAGCACACTAAGACAGACTTTACTTACACCCAGCTTGTATATGCCATGGTGTCCTAGGGATTTGCTGACAGGTAATAAAAGCTCTACCAGTTACAATACTACTGGCTGCTGAAATAAATTTTTAAATTCTGGAGTTTGGTGTGGTAAAAGACCAAAGTTTGATTCTGTCCTGCAGTACAGTTGGTGAAAAATATTTGTGTTTGCAGCCACATCATCTATACTAACAGGTTCTGTAGTGTTTGTTTTCCTTTCCAAAATTTTTGGATCAGTTTGTTGTCATTAATGACAGGTATTATACTACTTGCACTGAAAGCACAGGGAACATTTTAGCCATTATGTCAGAGTTGTTAATTCAGGTGATTTTCACTAAATGGACCCCACTGTTAAATCACTATATCTGCTTACAGTCACATTCCTTATAGTGAAATAACCATAAGTCACAACACTGTACTGCAGCTTATTTTTTAAAAACAATGCAAAATGTTCCATATAATTTTTATTCGGCCAACCAAAATTATTTGGTTCTTCTTATCCTGAAGCACTTACCAATAATGGCATAAGCCGGGGATTTGCAGTTGATTTGAGTAAGCATTTATAGTGTGACTGATAATGAATTGTACCTGTTTAAGCAGCTGTCTCTTCTTCTCCTCATTTTGTTCATCTCGGGCTTGCAAGTCTCTTTCAAACTGTCCTTTTAGGGCCTGCATGTTAACCTCCAGTCTAAGCTTGGCATCTTCAGTAGCCTGCAGCTCATCCTCCAGCTCCTCTAACTGTGTCTTCATCTCCTCCATTTGTTGTTCCAGGGCACGTTTGGATTTCTCCAAATCATGGACCTTTCATGCAATGACAAATCAATAGAATGATTGCAATCTAAAACGATATATTGCTGGAATGAGATCGTTCTGCATTTAGCATGCAACCAATTGGAATGTCTGAACTGTGGCAAGAGAATAGATTAAGTTTCAAGAGCACACGCCAAGAAGTGGCAAACTAGTATTTTTATACTCTTATAAATCTATTTTAAAGGGCAAAATTCATCTTATTCATAGACTGAGGTCCTGCATACCAAATGTTATCACAGAATTTTTTTTTAGTCTAAACACCTACAATTGTAGAAACACCACTTTTGCGGTAGTGAAGTGATCATGCCATTAGAAGAAGAAACAGGAAGCAATATCCCCTTTCAAATTAAGTTAGCGGGGCTCCTTCTAATTTTATTTCCTTCTTAAACTCTACTATCAAATACAAACATGTCTCAGATGTCCTGTCGCAATTTTACTCTGTCAAGTCAGCTGTGGAAATTTCTTTTAGCTATAGTGGTAACTGTTAGCAAGATCAAAACTACTTAATAAATTCAGATTTACTGATTTTACAGCCTGGAAGTTGCTTAGTGGGCTAGCAAATACTTTTCAATCTCTGATTTAATTTTATCTTCTTTAAGAAAGGAAGCAAATAATCCTCTTCAAGATCAATAACTTGCTGTTGATCAGTAAAGTCAAGACTAAAGAAAGCTTGTAAGCATAATTCATTGCCGAGACTCTTATAGGACTGGATGCACATGGAATTGCTCACGGAATTCTGCGTAAAGCTCCTGACATTGTTGAATGGATTTTATACTCTGAAGAACTCTTCACACTGAAAATGTAGATTGTTGTGTTATTCACTCTTAATTTAAGTGTTTATCCTTGGAATAGTTATACAGGATATATTTTGTGAGACTTACATTCTTGCCTACATCATCCTTGGAGCTAACTAGATCTTCCATTTCAGCTTTCAACAATTTGTTGGTTCTCTCCAGTTCTTCTTTGGCTTCCAATGCTTCCTCAAGAGCTCGGGCCAATGACAAAGCCTTTGTTTCTTTTTCTCTAGCTTCAGCTTCTGCTTTGTCCCTTTCATCTGCATATTTAGAAGAGATGGTTTTCTCTTCAGCTAGCATCTATAAATCAATAACATAAAATTCTCAGTTTGAACACACTCATTCTATTAATACAGAAAACAATTAAATGTAGGGTTTTCCATTGCATTAGTCTTGTCAATTATTATTGACTACAGAGAAAGGTCCCTGCATTCTGATGAACATATGAAGATACACAAATAACCACTGCACAAATAACCACTTCATAAAAAACTTAACCTCAATTTTTTTATAACAATGCTAATTCTCATCCAACAACTTACTCTCTCCACCTGTGACTCCCAGCAGAGTTAGGTTATAACATAAAGGGAATTAATCATACCTGATCAAACTTCTTCTGCTTTTTCTCCAGATTGGAGACCAGCTGACGTTGGTTGTCCAAGTCCATTACCAGATCATCCAGCTCCTGCTGGAGTCTGTTCTTGGTTTTTTCCAGTTTGTCATAAGAAGCAGCTTTTTCCTCAAACTGCTGCGTGAGCCCTTCAATTTCCTTCTGGAATTTCTTTTTGCCTTCCTCCATACTCTCTATTGTGCTGACATATTCTTGTAGCTTCTTCTTTGAGTCAGAAAGCTGAAATTTGAATTCAAGCAATGAAACAAGTCTTTATAGCACAGGCATTCTAATTTTGTACAACAGAGGGCTGCATATGACATCATTCAACGAAACGAGTGGTGTACACCTAACTCACTCAGTTAGGTGTACTGATAACTGAAACGGATAACAATCATTCATCTTCAACACCATGAGGCAGCCTACTAGGCCCATTGCTCCAGACTCCATCTTGAGGTGAGTGATCTTGCACTCAGGGATAGCCAGTAGTGCTGTGGTCACACTCTTCACTGCATTAAAGAAGAGGGTGGCTATTGCCTGCCTTGTAGAATTCCACAGGCTACAGTTGGCCTACAGCTCACACACTTGTTGCTTCTGTTCTAGCAACAATAGTTCGTTGGCAAACGTACAAGAATAACTGCAGATCTGAACTCTGTGGACCTATTGTAAAGACTCAGCACCAGAGCTAAGGTTTTAACTGTGCCACTGTACCTGTATTGTCAACGTCGAAATATGTCGCTCTAGGTTTTGTTTTGCTTCTGCTTCTTCCTCCAACTGTTCTTGCAGGCTGTGATTTTCCTCTTCTAGCTGGCGAAACTTGGTAGTTACATTTAGTTTCTGCCGAGTTTCTTCCTGAAGAAGCTCCTACAGAGAGCATCATAACCAAACATGGTCATTTTCAGTTATTTTTCAGAATGTTTTATACAGGCAAGGTTATACTGATGGGAGGCCTACCTGTGTATCCTGTAGCTGAGATCCCAAGCTTGCAACATCCTTAGTGAGTTTGATTGTCTTGGTTTCTGCTTCACTGAGCAGACCGGTAACATTTTCAATTTCAACCTAAAGAGAAATCACATTGAATTGTTTCAGTCATTTTGTAGAGCTTCTATTTGCTCTTTCTCAACTATATTCGAGGCAGGACCAGAATGGACTCTTGAAGTACAGTTTGTAATTCAACGCCAGGGGACAACTAGCTCCTGTGCTTCTGAATCACATCTAGAACCCTACAAGAAGCCTATTTTCCAGTTCAGGTGCAACTCACGATGGCAAAAATAATGTCAGAACACTAGATATTGCCACAGTTTTACTAAGAGAGTTTGTGAGATTTCAGGGCTATGGAACCAATGTACAACTGTCAGACATGTTTGGGGGGGAGGTTTCTGGGAATTCTGTCACAGGCAGCTTTATTGGACTTCCCTTTGTCCAGTATTGCTGAGAACAGCTCCATGCAAAGGATGCCTCGCTTTTGTGCCACAATCTCTCTGTCAGACTCCCAAGCTGACTCCCAAGCTATATCCAATGGAATGCAACTCGTAACAAAGGAATTGATTCTGAAATGTTGGTTTTCAAAACTATATTGTGTTTCCACAGGTTTTTACTACATAACATGCTAAGAAAATTCCGCACCCCTTCCTGCCCTGCACTCGAGAAGTTAACAGTTCTTGGGAATGGGCATTTAGTAAGAAGTGAATAATGGTCTGTACTAGCAACACCACTATGTAGGACTCCGAGTATGCCAGTCACTAATTAGCCTACTGAGCCTCTCAGGTCACCGAAGAAGGTATTTCTTACCTGTAACTTATGGACTTTTTCATTGAGTTCCACCCGGACGCGTTCTCCATCAGTGTATTTGGATTGTAGCTCCTGAAGCTGTACTTCCAGTTTCTTCTTTTTGTGCTCCACCTCTTGTTTGGCCTGATTTAGTGACCTGATTTCAGTACTCAGGTCAGCATTTTCTTTCTCTAGTGTCTGCTTGGTCTTGTCCAAGTTCGCTTTGGCCTGAATGCGTAAGGCAAAGAAAAATACATTGAGCAAAAGAACTCCACAATGTCTAATAGATAAACCCATTGTCCAGGTACTGGTTTTCCATTTACCCGTTTAAATTGCTCCAGCTGCTCCGTGAGCTCTTCCACAGCCTGCGTATGCTTTTGCCTCATCTCCTGGACCTGGGCTTCATGAGTTTGAGTTTCTTCCTCCAGAGCTCTCTTCAGCACTGTGACCTCCTGTTCCCGCTTCGCTCTGGAAAGCAATGCACTCATGAATGGAACTGCTAGCAGACAATCCAATCGCAGAGAAAATCGTGTTATTGCACAGCTGTGCGATAATAAATAATACCGTCAACAGCAGCACTTTTATAGTAGCCCCTTAAAATGACGATCTAAGTAAGTTGTGTGTCCAGTTCTGTGCAGGGTAACAATGTCACAGCCCAGGTAAGAATCCAAGAGTCATTTGCACTAGGGCTTGTCCTTAGAGCTCACATTGTTCCAGATGTGCAGCTCACTAGATAAGTCTTATACGATATTTACTGAAATAGTGCTTTCTGATTGTGTGTGTTTTATAGTGAGTTTTTAGCTACGTTTATTTTTCTACCACGTGCTAGATCTTTATACCTGAGTTCCTGTTGTGTAGCTGTGCTATCCAAGGTATCTTCAAGCTCTGTTTTCAGGGCCTCCAGCTCTTCACTCAGGTCTCGCTTTTGTTTTTCTGCTTTGTTTCTTGCTGCTCTCTCAGAATCCAAGTCTTCCTGGAGATCAGAGATGTGACCTTCCAGCTCTCGGATTTTTTTGAGGGCATTATTCTTCTGAGCTATTTCGTCTTCAAGCCTGGACAAAAAAAAAAGTAAGGTAAATATAAAAAATGTTCATCTGACTCCTTGGTACTAACTCTTAGCAGCTAGTTACAAAGTGTGTGGAGTTGTTGGGAGCTGGTGACTTCAATCTAAATATCCTAAATGAATTCATGCTGTGGTTGTTTTAATGTTACTAGGAGGTATAATTAATCCATGTCAGATAATATATAAAGTAACATGATAACTTATGTAAGTATAACATGAACTGTGCATTTAAAGGTGGTTTTCTGAATGACCTAATTTTTGCTCCTTTTGAAATATATAGGGGTTTTATCATTGGCCTTAGTGTGAACAGAATTAGGCCAACTCCCAGAGTTTTTGAAAATCCCATCCTAAATATATGTTTGAGAGTATGTGCTAGGCTCCGTGTTTAGCTCATTGCACAGACAGACCTAACCAGTTGAGAGAGAGAATGACCAAAGTAGAGGTGAAGTCTTCATCTCTTGGATGACATAGACAATTGGGAGGATCACTGGTATCTGCAGAATAAGGCTTTCTCAACTGTTGTACATGTAAGAAACTGGGCCCCCAATGTAGGAAAAAGATATGAAGGGAAATGAAGGGAAAATGATTGTTGCATCTATATGGAGAGACAGTATCCCAGAAGATATTGATGTATAGAAGGATCTTGCTGCTTCATGGGGGCTTCATGGTCAGGTCTAGGACTGACATTTCACATGGCCTGTGGCCTATTTAAGTCTTTGGAAACCTTCCTTATTCATTTTAATGGTTTAGGATCAGTGGCAAACGTGCAATAATTTGCAGTATATTTTGTCTGTAACCTGCACTTTTTGCTTCTCATCTGTGATATGGTGGCACCCAAAAGGAGTAATGACCACTAGGAAGAAGAGATGTCTCAGAAGTCTAGATATAAATCAATTTTAATCACCAATGCAATTAATTTTTAGCATGCTAGGTTTAGAGAAGGGGGAGGACCATCAGTGGGCTCAGAGTACAGAGATCTGATTCAGAGCTGAACTGCCTCAAAGTGTAGGATGGGGCTGGATGTGTGTGTTCAGGGATGGGTTTCTCCATGTCCAGATCTGGAGGTTCAGCTCAGGCCCTTCTGTGGGTAGGTGTTGGGTACCTGGCAAGAGCAGCCTGCAGCTCTTCCTCCTTTTTGGCCAGCTGCATCTTTAGTTCAGCAATCTGCGCCTGCAGGTCTGCAATCTGCTCATGCAGGTCACTGGCATCTCCCTCCAGCTTCCTCTTCGTTTTCTCCAGTTCTTGTCTGCTCTTCTCTTCTTTCTTTAGTCGCACTGAAAAAATAAGGATTCTTGTCAGGAGAGTGAGTCAGCCCAAGAAATTCCCAAAGGGACCTTGAACAGAGGTACATATTCATGGAAAAGCAGAGAGTAAAACCATTGGAATTACACACAGAATTACAAGTCGTAAATTTCTTTTCGTACTGATGCGTTAGCGACTTGCTACCGGCACATGAATTTCAATTTCTGTCCATCCATACTGTGGAGCACTGCTTTTCCCATGTTTTCTTTCTTGTGCTGATTTTATAACCAAATAGGGACCTCTGTTCTGCCGCTGCATTTTTCCCATCCCATGGTTTTTGTAGGTTGGATTCATTCTCCAAGAAACACAAATGAAATTGTTCTTTTCTTTGCCTTTGACTGGCTTGGATTAAAAAAATTGTAATAAATGAAAGCCTATGTTTCTAATAAATATTGTAATACTTGGTTCTAATTGGCCCTGGAATACTGAATCTGACAAATGACATTTAAAATAAAATGTGGAAAACACTCACACAAAACAATTAAAATTATATTTGTGCCTATTGGGACTCCATGACTGTCATTAAAAATAAAATTTACTTGGTAATTACTATAAAATTTCTTGTTCCAGCATTTCAGAAAACTTACATGGTAAATGGAGTTTTTTAAAATGCATGTCAAATGAACAATAGATAAAAAAACCACCTTTGGTTTACATTACCTTCCAGTTCTGAAATCATTGATTCATGTTTGTTTTTCAGCTTTGTAAGATTTTTGGCTTTTTCTTCTTCTTCTGCAAGATTTGTTGTTAAATCACTTATTCTCTCTTCAAGAAGTTTTCTTTCCTTAAGAAAAGTTTTCATGTATAGTTTGAATATATATTATTTGTGCTCATGAAATGCCAATGTACATGCTAAAAAATAAATTAGTCTTTCGGAATGCCACGTTTCCTGACGGTGTCATGCAGCACTTAGGGTATGTCTACACTACAGAGCTAATTTGAAATAAGAGCCCTTATTTTGAATTAACTGTAATAGTTGTCTACACATACAAACCGCTATTTTGAAATTAATTCAAAATAGCGGAGCACTTATTTTGAATTAAGTAAATCTCATTCTACGAGGAATAACGTCTAATTCAAAATAGCTAATTCGAAATAAGTGCTGTGTAGTCACTTAATTCGAAATAGGGGGCCTCTAGCCCTTCCCAGGGAGCCCTGGTGGCCACTCTGGGCACAACCAGGAAAACTTACTCTCCTCTCCTCCAGCCCTGGAGCCATTAAAGGGGTAGACCATGGCCACAGTGCCTGTGCCAGCTCCAAGCCTGCCAGTCCAGAGCCAGCAGGGCCCCTGATCCAGTAGCCCCAAAACATGAGCCAGCAAGCCTCTGGCAGCCAGCCCTCCACCGCTCCCTGGGAGCAGTCTGCCAGCTCCTAGGAGCCTGACAGGGGCTGGAGAAGGCAGGTGCCTTCCCGTTCCAGGGTGGAGATCATGGAGCTTATTCAGGTGTGGGGGGGATTACCCCAACTAACGTCCATGATCTCTGCACTAGATGGAGGAATGAGGCCGTCTATAGCGGAATAGCTGCCAGCCTGGTCACCAAAGACCACATGCAAACCCAGGAGCAGGTTAACATGAAAGTCAAGTTGGTCTGGAGAGACCTCCTATCCTGGGCCCTGAGCTTCCCCTCCCCCTTCTTCCCCTTGCTTCCGCCTTCCAGCTCCCTCCTCCCAGGTTTCCTCCTCCCCTCTTCCACCCTCTCTCTTCCCCTCTCCCACCTCCTTTTCCTAGTCTCCCCAGAGGTTCATTCTCCCCCCCCCCCAGTTTTGTTCAATAAACTTAGTTTCTATTTTTGAACATACGTGTCTTTTATTTGACATCAGGAAGGGGGGCTAGGGAGGGGTAAGTGGAAGGACATGAGGGAGGAATGAGGCACGAGTCCCCGGTGGGGAGGACTAGGGAGGCTCTGAGGGCTCCTTGTGGTGGACACTCTCCCTCAGAGCCTCCTGGATCCTGACAGCTCCCTGATAGACCCTTGAATGGCAGCCTGCAGCAAGTGCAGCCGGGCTGATGCCAATGACCCCATGAGACACATCGGGGTGCCCAGGGGTGTAGCTGAGTGCTGTGGTGTCCCGAGTACGGGCACTCAGGGCACTCCAAGACAGGACTGCTTTGCTATCCCTCATTGAGGTAGACAAGTAAGCAAGGAACCCTGAGAACTGTCTGTCTGGGGTGGGGGGTCGGGTCCCTTTAAGCAAGGAGCTCAGTTAGCCTCAGGCAGCAGTCCCACACACTCAAGTCCTAACCTGATGCCATGCCAGCACTGGTTCCGGCCAGCCTTAACTTCGGTTCAGGGTCCACTCAGTGTGGACATGCTATTTTGAAATAGTAAAACGCTGTTTTGAAATAGTTTTTGTGTCTAGATGTGTTATTTCAATTTAGCTTAATTTGAATTAACTATTTCGAATTAAGTTAATTTGAAATAGTGCTGTAGTGTAGACATACCCTTAGAGAGGAAGTAGAAACTGGTGGATGCTTTCTATGGGTATGTCTACATTAAAGAGAAGATCAAAGCTGCTGCCCTGATCTTCCAGGGTTTGAGTGAGCAGGTCTAGTGGAGACATGCTAATTCGAACTTAGAGAGGCACTCCAGTTGATGCCGGTAGTTCTGCTTCCATCAAGAATAAGGGAATTCGAAGGAAGAATATTCTTCCTTTGACTTCCTGCAGTGTGGACAGCGCCAAAAGTCAAGTTAAGGTACTCCAGCTTCAGCTATGCAATTATCGTACTGAAGTTGCGTATCTTAATTCAACCTTATACAATAGTGTAGCTATACCCTATACAGGGCTGGCCTTACCATGAGGTGAACTGAGGCGGCCGCCTCAGGTGCCAGACTCTGAGGAGCGGGAGGGGCACCATTAGGACCCAGAGTATAGAAAATTGTCTACTGCTGGTGCATATGTATTCTCTCTGCAGTATGATGAGAGGAGTAGAACAGGAACAAGGCAGAATTGAGACCTTTCAAAGTTTTGGCCCAAGCAATGCAGCATGGGGGCATCATTTGAGCTCCCCGCCTAAGGTGCCAAAATATTTTGAGCTGGCCCTGACCCTATGAGATTAACTGGACTATTAGGTTCTTTGTATCCACTCTGAGATGACTAATAAGCACTTGGTCTCCGATTCAGGATAGCATTTTAACATGTGCATACTTCATGGCTGTGTCTACACTGGGCCACTTATTCCGGAAAAACAACCGCTTTTCCGGAATAACTTGCCAGTTGTCTACACTGTTTGCTTGCTTTTCCGGAAAAGCAATGACGATCTACTGTAAAATTGTCAGTTTTTTTCCGGAAAAACTATGCTGTTCCCGTTCAGGCAAAAGTCCTTTTCCAGAAAAACTGTTCCAGAAAAGGGCCAGTGTAGATAGCACAGTAGTCTTTTCCGCAAAAAAGCCCCGATCACGAAAATGACCATTGGTGCTTTTTTGCGGAAAAGCACGTCTACATTGGCCATGGACGCTTTTCTGGAAAAAGTGCTTTTCCGGAAAAGCATCCTGCCAATGTAGGCGCGCTTTTTCTGGAAATACTTATAACGGAAAACTGTTCCGTTTTAAGCATTTCCGGAAAAGGGTGCCAATGTAGACGTAGCCCATATGTTTATGAATCATGGCCTTAGAGTTTTTGGGGGAAATTTCCCCATCCAGAGGACTAGCACAAGGCCTATGTTTAATTAAAGCCCTCAAAATAGGAGATAAATGGTACGTGAAGTGCTGAGCTTCAGCCTACATCCCTAGTTTCATGCATAAGAAGTTATATCAGTTATCCCAGAGTGGGAGAAATATACATCCTTTAGCAAAGTTTACTGCACAATTGTCTTAGCTCTAGTATTCAGTTATTTTGGAAAACAAGTGGAACATACATCCATCAAGAAGTAGCAGTAATATATTTTAAACAACAGTTCAGGGGTGGGGAACCTTTTTTGGGTTGGGGGCCACTGACCCATAGAAGAATCAGTATATAAGCATATAAGCCAAAAAAAAAAAAATCCTAACCCAAAAATGTGACATGGCCCCAACCAAGGAGAAAGACACTCTCACATTCCCTTGGCACAACAGAGGAGCCTAAGAAGGCCCAGGCTATTAGATCTTGTGTGCTCCAAACCCGCAGCAGGATGGTGGAGGAGCTGGAGTGCTAGCATAGGCTCCCCAATGCTGTAGGGGAGCCCTGAGAACTGTGGCGCCAGATCGAGGCAAGCTGGGGGCTATTAGATGATTATGTACAATTTTACAAGTTAAAAGGAATTAGTGAGGTTTGTGCATAGGGGGAGCTGTCTGCTCTTTCTAGATTTAATATGGAATGTTTCCACTGATCTTGCTTCACTGCTATGAGGATTTTTGCTTGGAACTATTTTTACTATGAGAGGACTCAAAAAAATCAACAAAATGTGGATATTTAATAAGGTTTTAAATTGTCTAGGATAAACATGGCAAGGTTGTCACCAGTCCATTCCAGACACAAAGGCTATGTCTATACTGGGCCACTTATTCCGGAAAATCAGCCGCTTTTCCGGAATAAGCTGCGAGCTGTCTACACTGGCCCTTGAATTTCCGGAAAAGCAACGATGCCCTACTGTACAAAATCAGCCGCTATTCCAGAAAAACTATTCTGTTCCCGCTCGGGCATAAGTCCTTATTCCGGAACACTGTTCCGGAAAAGGGCCAGTGTAGACAGCCCAGTAGTCTTTTCCGGAAAAAAGCTTCGATCGCGAAAATGACGCTTGGGGCTCTTTTCCGGAAAAGCGCGTCTACATTGGCCACAGACGCTTTTCCGGAAAAAGGGCTTTTCCGGAAAAGCAGCCTGCCAATGTAGACGCTCCTTTTCCGGAAAAACTGAAAACGGAATAGTATTCCGTTTTAAGCATTTCCGGAAATTCATGCCAGTGTAGACACAGCCAAAGAGCTTATGGCCTGTTAGCTATGTGACTACGAAGTGCAGTCCCTGCCAGTGAGGTGGGGGAAGGGAGAAGAGGCAATTGCCCTGGGGCCCGGTGATTCAGAAAGGCCTGGGGCTTGCAGCCAGAGCCCCCAGGCTCTTTAAATTGCCTCCAGAGAGCCAAGTTCTCAGGGCTGGCTGGGCAGTGAAGGTGGCTACTACAGCACACTTCATGTGGCGTGTGGGACTGGCTGCCCTCAGCCCTGACTCTTCTGCCTAAGGCTCCACACCTCCTCAGAACGCAGAGCCAGCCCCTCCCACCATGCCCAGGGGTAAGCAGGTCTTTCAGCCCCCTGATGAAGTGCTAAGGATCATTGTTACAATAGGAGGTGAAGATATTTTCATCGTACATTGATTCTGCGCTAAGTAGATAACTGGGCCTACAACACTGACCTTGGTCAGCTTGTTGTTCTGATCATCCATTATGAGAATGTCATCTTCCATTTTCTTTATCTTGGCCTCTGCTGTTACTTTCTCAAGTTGTAGTTTTTGCCTGGCAGCTTCTTCTTCTTCCAGCTGGTCCTCAAGATCCTTTTATTTTTTTGGAGAAACACCCCAACCCCCCCCAAAAAAACAAATGAACTCTAGAAATGAATGTACTACATCAGCGGTTCCCAACCGTCGGTCCACGGCGTGGCAGCACATTGCTAGGCCAAGCTCTCAGCTTTTGATTAGACCTGCCCACTGGGGTTCTCCATCTGTCCTCTTCCCCATGCAGCAGTGGGGTGGCTGGAGCCAGGGCCGTGGTGAGGCAGTCCCTACTGGCTCCAGCTCCGGCAGCTAGCAGCTACTATGTGGCCTGGCTGGCGGGGCTGCATGGAGAGAGGCTGCGGTGCTGGGGGGCCAGCTGAGGCCACGTGGTGGGTGGCCAGGGCCTGTTCTAGTAGGAGGCTGGGACCTGCCATGGCCATGTGGTTGGGGCATGGCTGGGACCTGTTGCTTGGTGGGTGTGCTGGGGCCTGCTGCAGCCACATGGCAGAGGGGCCGGGACTTGCTCCAGTGGGGAGGGCTGGGGCCTGCTGTTCCCGCATGGCAAGGAGACCTGCACCTGCATGGGGGCTGGGCTCTTCCACGGCTCTGTGGCAGAGGAGCTGGAGCCTGCGGTGGCCATGTGGTGGGGGGGGCCCAGGACCTGCTCCACCCAGTAGGCAGCTGCTCAGGTAGCTGGGGATGAATTACATAATATGGGGTGGAGGCAGGAGTCAAGGTTGGAGTGTATGAGAGGCCTGGAGCTGGGGTACATATTTTGGTGAACCAGAAAAATTTTATTTGCATATTTGCATATTCATTGTTTGGACAAATGTTGAATTGTCCAAATAAAATGTTGAGGGTCCATCAGAAGTTTGTGAATGGGTTTGTCAGTCCCTGATATAAAAAAGTTTGGGAACCACTGTGTACTACATGACCTGTTTCAGGCCTGCCCAAACTTATACTGGTATATTAAAAGCTTTGCTAATTTTAAGAAAGATTGTGGCAATGCAGAAGAGAAGATTTAGTAATCTAGCTATTTAGAAAAGAAAATCTTTAAACATTTTAAATTAGGATTGGGAAAGAACATGCCTATCTACTATAAAAAATTATGTGGAGAGGAAAATAGCAGAAAAGCGTCCCTACTGTAGTATAGAAATAAAGCAGCTGCTTTCATATGATCAGTAGTTGCCAATTTTGTGAGCTAGGTGCAATTGTGTGAGCTGTGCATAGGTTACAGTACCAGCATTTGTTGTTGCATCTTTTTCTTTTCTGTTTGCAACTGGTGACTGCGATCCTCCTCTTCTTCAATCCTGGCCTCCATTTCATGCAGGATCTCCTCCAACTCTTGTTTCTTAGCAGATAGGCGGACTCTCAACTCTTCAGCTTCTGCGTACAGTTCAGTCTCAGCCTGAAGCTGCTCCTGAAGGAGATTCTTTTCTTCATATAGCTGTGCAGATAAATGATAGGCACTTAAAACTCAGATCACAAGTTACTCGGTACAGCATTTCTTTAAGAAATGACAAATACATGGAGGTTGCCCGGAGGAGAGCAACCAGAATGATAAAAAGTTTAGCAAACTTGACCTATGGAGAAAAGTTTTAAAACTTGAGCCTGTAACCTATTGAGAAAGGATAACTGAGCGGGGATCTGTTAAGTCACATATGTTAAGGGCTCTTATAAAGAGAACGATGACTGATCATTTTCCATGTCCACTGAAGGTAGGAGACAAAGTAATTGGGTTAATTTGCAGCAAGAAAGATTTCAGTTTGATATTAAGAGAAACTTTCTAATTACACTAGATAAACTCTGGAATAAGTTTCCAAGGTAAGTTGTGAAATTCCCATGAGTGGAGCTTTTTAAGAACAGTTTAACAAACACCTGCCAGGGATGGCCTAGGTTTACTTGGTCCTGCCTCAGTGCAGCAGGCTGGACAAGATGATCTCCTGCACTTCCCTCCCGCCCTACATTTCTGTGATTCCATGGTTCTCCCAGACTGCCACTGAATAGAGATTATTACACTGACAGGAGAACTAGAGGTACAGACTCTTGAAGTCTGTCAGTGGATTGCAATGTGCTTTGGTTCAGGTCCATTGACATTAAGAGGATACACAAGGAGAACAGATCCTTTTGCTGGTGTTTTGTAACATAATGAGATTCTAAGAATAAAATCATTGATAACATTTCCAGCAGTCCAGAACTGTATATCACCTGATTATGTTTCAGCTCCAATTCCTTCAATTCACACTCTGCTTTTTGTTGTCTTTCCTTTGTTCTCTGTAGCTCCTCATCTTTGGCTTGCATTTCTTCCTCTTGGCGGGTGACTTGTAACAATGGTTTCACCTGGAAAAACCAAGTACAGATGTTCCTTTTCAACATTTATTTTAGTGATGCAATAGTTGTCAAGAGTGCCAGACTGACAACTCTACTGATGAACTTTTTGGTAGTAGAGAACTATAGCACAGTCCCTTGCATCCAAGCTTCCCCACACCCTGGGGCTTCAGTGATATGCTTAAAAGGCCACTTCTCTGTGAAAAAAGCTATTTTATTCTTCAGGCCATGTCAGACTTTTGACTCTCTGAGGAGACGGCTCATGAAGGAGGACAATTACAACAAGATTCGATGGGGGGTGGTTATGATGCAGGGTATCTCTTCATTAACTCATATCAACTTCGAACATGAGATTAAAGATCTAAACATGCTAACTTTTCTTGTGTGGTACATTTTGAGTGGTGGATTTTCATCCTCTGAATAAAGACAGAGTGACCCATACTTCTAATAACATTTCAGAATGTGCTCAACACTTTTCTGACTATGGGGCTAATCCTACACACTCTGAAATCAATGGGGCTCTTTCATTGATTGCTATGGACTTTGGAGCAGGCCCTATAGGTCAGTAAAAGTCCTTCCTCCTAACATGGCTTAGAATCCTAGACCATCTGTCTCATATGGAAGGCTGAAGAGAAATTCACGGGCTGTCAATCACTTACTTTAGTGAAGAGTCTCCACCATTGCCAGTTCCTTAGCTTCAGGTAAGCAGAACAGTTTCTCTGAATGACCCTCATTGCTGTGAGCTGCTGCTGCCGCTTAGCAAAGGCCCTATAATTACATACAAAGCAACTTCCTTCAAATCACCTAATAGGCATGAGCACAAGTTGTCTGCATGATACATTTCAAACAAAGTGCACGAATGTGGTGATTCTGTGTGCAAGTTTGGGGTGTCTGGTGCAAACTCTCCTCCCATGTAAGGTATATGATCATTTGTGGTACTCACAGGAAAGGCAGCAGTTTGGTTTGTCTTTTCAATATTTTATTCTGCTGCTTTTAGATGGTTTAATTGTAGATATGGGATTCAGCCACAAAATGCAGATCTGAGGATGGATGTCTCCAGAAGCTGGGTATGTAGGGGGTTCAGATCTAGGCTTTTATTCAGGACCATCATTTATTTCATCATAACATATTTACATTTGTCTGAGGGACTTATCGCAGGGCCCAAGGGAAGAGCCTTTACCGTTCATATTTTAAAAATGGGCTTTTAACTCTTCGAGTGCTTAGTTGGTTCCAAATTAATTAGAGGTCTGACTCAAGTGTCCAATGTTTCAGGTCCAAGCTCTGTATCAATGGAGTTTAACACTTTACAGATAGCAGCAGCTGTATTTATCTCTAGCTTCCCCATTTGTATCATACAAACACAGAACAAAGACTGTCCTTACAGTTCACAGTCTTAAGTAGATGAAGTACTTCTACTCTATGTAATTGATCTAATTAGATTATTGGGGGGGAGGGGAGGAACAACTATGTCTTCTTATGTATATGTACTGCACCTGACACCTCTGTATTACAGTAATACCCAAAATATCACAATAACCATCAACCTCATTACAAAAAATTCTCAGTCTACAGTGCAGATCACGGCAGACCATGCTATACATGATGCATTGCCATAGACTTTGGTGAGTTTTTGACAATGCAGTCTTACTTTCTTGCCAGGTATCCTCGACTTTGAGCCTGGAAAGCAATAATGACATCTGTGATTTTCAGGTCTCTTTCCTCTTCCAGATGAGCCAGGACACCAGTTCTGAAGAAGATTTTACTTTGTCCAATTCTGTACAAGTTGGGATCAAGTTCTAATGCTTTGATCTATTGGGAGGGAAACAAGGATGTTTTGTTGACTCTGTTATTACAATACAGTCAAATAGTTTTCACAGGAATGATTTTTTCCCTGTAGAAAAATTAACCATTTTCTTGTAAAATGTATAGTCCTGACTTTATTAGTTTTGGTTGAAAACGTTCTGCTCACCATCAGTATACAAGCCTGTTTCCCATCCATAAATCCCTTAGGGATAGCGTTAGCAGCAAGAATTTCATATCTGTAAGCAGAGATGGCATACAAAGAGAAAACAGATTATTCAGCGCATACACAATCTTAGTTTCCACACAAATGAATGTGTATTAAGCAGTCCAGAGCATTTGGACTATTTCAGTGTCTTACCTCTGACGGAATTCCTGGAAGACAATTCTGTTGGGGAATCCTTGCCGGCAGATACGAATCCCTTCCAAGACACCATTGCATCGTAACTGCTCCAGCACTAAATGGGCATCAAGTTTGCCAGCCTACAGAAGGAGGACATTCTCACTTTTTGCATAAAATAAATGAGGAATGAAGATAGAAGTTTGGAAAGTGTATTATTGGCTTAACATTATAATGGAAGAATGGCCTATGAGGAAAGGTTAAAAAGATAGGCATGTGTAGTCTTGAGAAAAGAAGACTGAGGGGGGAGCTGATAACACTCTTCAGATAGGTGGGCAACCTGTGGCTCATAGGCTGTATGTAGTCCATTGGGATTCTGCATGTGGCCAGTAAGACACTTGGTTTACCATTGCCCATGCGCAGGATTGCCAGGATCCGTTGGTTTCCATTCACATCGTTTTTTTCTCCCAGCAGTATTAGTAAAGTGACACACACAAGAGCAAGGGCACATGAAGTGAGGTGCATGCTGATTGCACACAACGTTGATGGTAAGAACCAGGTGCTCCTTCTGCCTCCAATCAAAATGCTGCTACAGTTCAATCAACACTTCCCACCTCCCTCCCCACAAATTCTAGGTACACACGCGGAGTTAGCAAAACTACCCCGTCCCTGCAGACCCTTCTTGGTTATGACAATCTGAGCGGCCCACTGAGATGAAAAAGGACCACTCATGCAGCCCACTCACTAGCCTAGGTTGCCCATTGCTGTACTAAGAGTTGTTATAAAGAGAACAGGGATCAATTGGTCTCTGTCCACT